AACTCTATCCAGAAGACGGCCGTGTCCATCGGCTTCATTGGTCGATCATTGTGCAGTCTGGAAAGTCTCTGCATGTGCATCTTGTAGGAGGGCTCATTGAGGACTTCCTGTAGAGCTTTTAGGAAGTTATCATCTTTGTCGACTGTAACCAGATTCAGAACTTTAGCTGCCCCCCTTGATTGCAGGCGGAGCAGATTGTCATACTGGTCAAAAAACAAGGGCAAACCCACGACTGGGACTGCGTAACAAATTGCCTCCTGGACTCCATTTGTTCCTCCATGAGCAACAAAAAGTTTTATCTTGGGGTGTCCTAGAAGGTCTTTTTGGGGCATCCAGTCAACCATTAAAGTGTTGTTTCCTAAAGAGGCTGGTCTTTTACCTTTATAGGTCCAGATTACTTTCTGGGGTACTTTAGCTAACGCTGCAGCGATCTCATTAGCCAAGTCATCGGGTAGTTGAAGTACAAAAGCTCCCAGAGACATGACGATGACTCCATGTTCTCCAGAACTCTGCACAAACTCCTCCAAGTCCTCAGGAAGTGGTTCTGGAGATTTACAATGGAACCCTCCCATGTACACAACATTAGGCATTGTGGGACGAGGATAGTTGAACACAAAATCAGTTCTCATCAGCCAAATGTCTGCGTCGGTTTTAACTTGATCAAAGTCATTATTGGGCCCAAGATATTTATCACATAACGGTTGGTATGTGTCTTTGTTCACCACAAATTGATGGATTCGGATAATAAAATATAAAATCATGTTTTTAACTCTCTGGGAAAAAGTCATCTCGTCAGTCGAGACAGATCCTGTTAGAGGAACGTATGATAAAGGTGAAGGAGCGATGGCAAAATGAGCTTCTTCAGATATTAACCATCGAACATTATAAACCAAAGGAAGATTCAAATACTTGGCCACAATAATTCCATGGCCCCAGCAGGGATCAGTAAGAACCAGGTCAAACCTGCTCTCTTTTAATGTTCTCATCAATTCTGCATCATCCAGCAGTGCTGAGACAAATTCCCCCGCAGCTCTGTGAATCTCAATGAATGTGCTGAACATGCCTACACTTGCCTTAAGAAAGCTTGTCAAAGGTAAAGCACCTCGTTCAAACTGTATGAGGTCAAATATAACTTTGGTAATAAAGTTTTGATAGAAGCTTCTTTCCACAGGAACAGTGATGGTGCTGTAAGAAGAGTTCTCCTTGATGTACCAGCTGTTGCTGGAACGTACAACAGTGATGTTGTGTCCTCTGGAGTGCAAAGCCTTAAGAAGAATTTCCATGTTTATCCAATGGCTGCCTTCAGCTGGTAGGACCAAGATGTTCCCACTTTGACAGATACTGGGAATCAGGAGGAGCAGGAGCAAAGCACTGCAGTAACAGACGGATCTCATCTGAAATAGAAGTACATGAGTTTCAAGTAACAAGTGCTACAGTTGTATTTGTTATTTTGGCACGTACACATATCCATTCTGTATGTTAAGCCTTGCTACTTACTGTGTGGATCGTCTTGTTTCTCCCAACAGAAAAAATAATCTACCGAGTGGGAGGAGGTGTACAATAAGACACCAATCGTTAGTTTGGAGTTATTTGTAATTCGGATGGGAGGAGCTTCACCAGCAGCCAGTATCACTCACTGAAATCTTCATGATGCAGCAAGTTACAACTGTCCTCAAGTGAGGTAAACCTTGAAAACACATGATCAGTTAAGTAAATAGATAAAACAAATATACAAATAAGGCAATGCAGTCATTAGTGCTGCCACATCACAGTAAGTAGGTCGCCCACAGCTTCCCAGCCTGGAGCCCTTCTGTGTGGTCTTTGCATGTTCTCGTCTGCATGGATGGGTTTTCTCTGGGTACCTCAGTTTCCCCCCACAAAACAAAAACATGCATGTTGCGTTAATTAGTAACCGAACTGATGTAAGTGTGGGTATGAATGTTTCATTTATTTGTATATTTACTGTGATGGACTTGTGACCTGTCCAGGGCACGGTGACCGGAGGAGATAGACACCAGCAACACCACGACACGAACAGGAAAAAGTGAGTAAAGTAAACGGTTTATAGGTTACTTTATGTAAAAGTAGCACTTAATGCTATTTGTATATGTGATGTTTAATACAACTTTGGGGCAGTTTTTATTAGAAGAAATTCAACAAAGGCTTAACATTCCGAAAGTAATGCATACTGCACACCAGTTTTAATTCAAAAGAATTGCCACTGCCATCTTCTTCAGCCACACTGAGTATCTGTTAACACTCATTGTATGTCTTGAGGATGACACATGTTTTAACATGTTTATTCATGAAAAAAAAATTTCATTATCATAAAACCATAACTTTATTTCTTCGCCCAGAAGGAAAATGTTCAAAGCACCATAATGATAGCCCAATATTGAACAGAAATGTCTCAGGATAAAAACAACCCTTGACAAAGTGTTATAAACAAATAAACAAAAGAGTTCGGTTTTAAGAAGAGTTTTTAAAACAATGAAGAGGCCTGTCTGAGACGGAAGGGCAACTCGTTCCACAATTTAGAAGTTGATGGAGCAAAAACTCAATCCCTCCTGAGCTTGAGACTAGCTTTTAGGACACACAGGAGCAGCTGGTCAGATGATCTGAGTGAGTTGGACAATTTGTTAGGATGCAGTAGCTCAGTGAGCTAAGGTGGGGCAAGCCCATGAAAAAATTAAAAAACCGAGACAAGTACATAAAAATTGATCTTAAAATGCATGGGTAGTCAATAAACTGAGGATGAAATGAGGGAAATGTGCTCATGATTACGTGTGCCAGTAAAAAGCCGTACTGCAGCATTTTGGACCCTCTGCAGTCGGGCAATAGAAGACCAATTAACCCCAAGATAAAGTGTGATACAGTAATCCAGATGGGTTGTGACAACGGCATGGATAACTATCTCAAAATATTTTGTTGGAATGATGACTTTTATCTTGGCCAGTTGTCTCAAATGATAGAAACATATTTTAATGACTGACCTGATCTGGTTGTTCAGGATCCAGTTCAACTCCCAAATTCCACACTGTGAATGTGCCATTCAAGCTTTTATGTCTTTAAGACACCTTGGCACCTTCCCCTCCACAGAATTGCCACCTTAATGTGTTGGAGGGATTTGACTACCCATGTGATCTTGAGCGGTCTCAGGATCGAAGGAGTAGTCCTCCACCACCTTAAAGCCCCCAGTATACTGCCGCGTATATCCATACGCAGAGGTACGCACGTACGTACGCAGAGGTACGAGCGTACCCCCCAGGGCATGTCCGTGCAAAGCTCAAATTTTTACGACCGCGTACGCAGTGTCGCACAATAAACTTCCCAGCGACGGACTGTTTTGTATGAGACACCAATGTATTAAATTCCCCTTCTTCATCTCTGATCTGGCCTTTTCTTTTGGTTTTTTGCCAAGAGGCAGTGATCTCTTCCTCCTCCGTTGATGCCATGACTGAAATGGTGAGAAATGAAGGAATTTGTCACGAGCGAATTAAACTCAGGTCCAGCATGGCTGCGAGAGGGTCTGGAGATTTCCTGGTGGGCTGGTCTGATGTGTGGGCTGTAGAGCCAGCGCTCCCTGTTTTTTTTTGTGTTTTTTTTAAGATCTTTTTATTAACAATATATAAACACAGAACACCACTGTGGCTGAGGCTGCCAGCGCTCATTTTTTTTCCCCCTCGACCTGTCAATCAATCCAGTAGGCTCGTCAGCAAATGACCAATCGGCGACCTCAATTTGTCCTGAAGGTAAACGCCCCTTGTCTGTGAAGCTGCTCTGCAGCTGCTAGGGGTGTACGCTGGAGTTTAATGACTGAACCCTCTGCATACAGTACACGTGTACATACGCGTGAACGGACGTACACGGCAGTATACTGGAGGCTTAAGGTGTCATGTTGTCTGGGGAATTAACCCCTGGTAGGGTCTCCCATGCTTAGTGGCATTGCCTGGTTCTAGGTACTTGGAACGTTACCTCACAGGCAGGTAAGAAGCTGGAGCTTGTGTGTCAGGTTGAGAAATATAGATTAAGTTTGGCTCACCTATACGTGTTTCTTGGGCTCTGGAACCCAACTTGTAGATAGAGGCTGGACTCTCTCCTATTCCGGAGTTGCCCAGGGAGAGACGTGTTGGGCAGGTGTAGGAAATCTCACAAACCACCAGCTGAATGCCTCAGTATTGGAGTTTTCCCTGATGAATGAGAGGGTTGCCTCTTTGCATCTCCGAGCTGCAGGAGAGATGGTTCTGACTGTTGCTGGTGCTTATGCACCATCAGTTTAGATTACCCAACCTTTCTGGAGTCTCTGGATGGTGTCCTGGAAGGGGTGCCATCTGGGGATTCCTTCATTCTACTGGGTGATTCAATATCCATGTGGGCAATGTCAAAGTTATCTGGAGAGGGGGTGATTGGGAGGAATGGCCTCCCTGATCTGAACCCAAATGTTTTTTTTTTTTGTTTATTGGACTTCTGTGCTAGGCATGGGTTGTCCATAATGAACACCATGGTTGAGCATATAGCAGTTCATAAGTATATCTGTTACCATGCTACCTTAGACCAATGGTTGATGATCGATTTTGTAATCGTGTCAGCAGACCTGCTGCCATATGTCTTGGACACTCGGGCGAAGAGAGGGGCAGAGCTTTCAATTGATCACAACGTGATGATATAGTCTTTTCTGTACACCTGCTTTTTTAATTGACTTTTATACACTAAGAAAATGTATAAATTATTATTATTATTTGTTATTTTACATTGTGGCAGCAAAATATTTTCAACGTGCAATAATGTCAACTGTCTGAATGACTTCAGTACATAGCTGAAACTTGGTTAAAATTTAACAGTTTTGTATTTCAACAAACCGGAAGTTCATATATATATATATATATATGTATAGTTCCCACTGAGTCACAAAATACTGATACTGAGTATGTGCATCTATGAAAATAATTTTGAATCTAAATGACAACTTGTAATTTTCAACCAATAAAATTTCCAAATAGATTTAATGTACAGTAACTGTGGTTTCTTTCATTGGTAAGCTTGAAGGTCACAGCAAGAACAAAAACTTTTATGGTTCTTATTGTGGTGTTGCATCTTCATTTCAACCTTTAATTTCAAAGGTCAGATAGAAGGGGGACACGGACTTTGGACAGGCAAAGTCACCTGCTCTGACAGAAACTGAGAATGCAGACTCAGACAGGAATCAAATGAAGACACTGACTGACTGTCATATTTATGTGAACTTGATTATATTTTTATTTCTTGAGTTTCAAATATATACATTAGAAAAACCAATTTATTATATCCAAAAAAATAGTTTGGTAAAAAAATGTATCATTGAAAGATTTTTGAGCAGCATGCTAGCTCAGGACAAAGTTCCAAACGTTTAAAATAAAATAGTTACTACTAAAAAAGTCTAAAAATGTTGCAGTTACATTAGTCGTGTTTAATTTTTTGTTTCTGCAGGGCATTACATAAACATTTGAAAAATAAAACCGTAGTTAAAATCATCATCAGAACTACTGCAGTGAGGAAGAGGACTACATCTACAGAGTGGTAGATATACCAGGACATTTTGTAGGACTGTGCTTTCAGGTGAGCAGCTCCTTTGTGTCTCATGACAAACTCTATCCAGAAGACGGCCGTGTCCATCGGCTTCATTGGTCGATC